ATATTGAATAAAGTAACTTATTCATTCATTTGTTCAGGCATTAATCAGTTCAATCCCAACATACCATTGTATCATTCCTATTAGGTAAATATCTCTATAATCTTGTAGATATAACCTTGAGTATACATAGCTTTGATAGGGCATGCAGAATAATGATTCAGTGCACATTCTATTTTACAAATCATTTTTATTAAAGTATTATAAATTTCAGGGCCGGCCGAGTGACGCGATGGTTAAGAACTGGCCTGGGACACCAGAGGGCCCCAGTTCGGATCCCACATATGAGGGCCAGTGACACTGCCCTCCACAGCTAAGATGCTGAACAACAGCTCAACCTGGAGCTGGGCTGCCATGAGTCGCCGGCGACGGCGTGGGCTGCAGTCCCTGTGGCAGTGGGTTGCCATGGGCTACCGTGTGTGGCCAGCAGCCGCAGTGAGTGAGCGGCCATCCAGAAGCCGGCGACTGAGCTGCCTCGTCAGAGAAGAGCGCAATGATGGTGCCAACTTGGGCCAGTGAAGCAACATCCTCCACAACTAGATTGAAGACCAAAACGACAGCAACTTGTCTGTTCCCCTTTCCCCAATTCCCCAGCACTGTTCCCATCCCCCCAATTCCCCAATAAAAAATCTTAAAAAAAATAAAATAAAAAAATAATAAAGTATTATAAATTTCAGATCCACACTCAATGCCAACTTGAGATGGTACAATATAGATATGAAACACCAGTAAAATCACTGATCAACTTAAATTGGGTTTCCTAAAGGTATATGAGCCATGACATGACATATTTATATATTTATTTAAATATAAAATAGAAGGGACATCTTATTCTAGAGTGAAAATTTAGAAGTGTTTATTACTGGTGTGATTGTATTTATTTAATTTTCTTTAAATAACAAATTCCCCAATGGCACTTAAAACAGGATTTGTTTATATGTATAACAAATATGACTTGTACACATAAATATACATATAATATGCATTATATTATATATAGCATATATAATATATATAGTATAATATATGCTATATATAATATATGTTATATATGTGTGTATGTCTATTAATTTTGAAACACAATAAGGTAAGGTGGTGATGTAAATTAAAAGTTGTCTTGATGATAAATATTGAATAATTATAAAGAATTCTGCTAACAAGTATTTTTTAACCTAAATTCCCTCACAGTTCAGAAAAACAATTGTTGTAAGCATAAAAATTCAATAAAGGTTGCTGTTATCAGAAAATGCATTTTATGCACTAATCTCTCTCCCGACCACATTTGATTTTTTCCCCCTCTACTCATTTTGGCCATATTCTGGCAGCCCATCTATCGTATTTTTTCTCTAGCTTTATTGAGATATAATTGACATATAAAATTGTAACATATTTAAAGTTATTATACTCTTGTTGGTTCTTATTCTTCCATGGGTTTAATGGGACCTTCCCTAACTCCTTCTTGGAAGAAGTCAGGAAATGCTTTGGTAATTATTGATAATTCATAGTGGCAAAGTGACAACCGAAGGGCCGTCATTATAAATATAAGAAACCGAATCTTAAAAAAAAATGTCAAATGCAAAATATTAACATTCTTTAAAATATATTATAAAATGAACCCAAGTACTCTATCCATGATAATTTCCTCTTAATGCAAATACTTAATTGTATATTATATTTCCTAACTAAGCCAAATGAAAAGGCCAGGAATCTTTTGTTTCTTACAGGAGACAATAATTTTAACATATAGTTTAAACTGAAAATATTTTTGCAGTAGTTTTATCTCTTGTTTTTCTCCTAAATTGCAGTGAAGCACAGCAGTAGCCATGTTTCTGAACATTAGTTTAGTATGTGCTTCATGGAGACCACTAGAATAGTCCGATTTCTGCAGGTATTTTCACTGGGTCCTCATTAAACGGTGAGTTGAGATGAGAAGACAGAAACCAGAAGGTTAAGTAACTTGCTGAAAATCAAATAGTAAATGGCAGATACAGAGATCAGAGTTCAAAAGGAACTCTATGAGCTTGTAGTAATGTCTTTTCCTCCACCACCAGCCTTACATTATTGATCCAAATTATACATTTCACTAGGTTACCAGTATAACCTAGTAAAGGGGTAGTTGACAGTCATACAAGTAAGACCTTTGTTTTGTTCAGCGAATGTTTATCACATTTGGTCAGTAATATGTTCTAGCTGGTAACAGATGAAATCCACTGAGTTATATTCTTGATTTAAATGCATTAAGCATCTTATTAGCATAGATTTCCTGGTGTGGTGGAAGGTGACTTGAAGAACACTAAAGCATCAGTCCATGATGTGCAAGCCATCTTGTCAAACCTGTTCAGTGCTGACACTGTACTATTTGGACATAGCTTTGAACATGGTCTATATGCTCTTCAGATAAAGAACTACAGGCTCATATTTTTGCAAAACGATGTGTGTTAAGATGGTAGTCATTAACATTGTGTTATCATTGATGCTTGGTTTGCCCTATTAACCAACACAAGAATTGCTCTCTTTGCTGATGACATAGTCCAGGTAGCACAAACTGGAAGCAGTATATGATAGCTAAAATCATTTGGCTAATCAGATCAGAAAGTCCATCATTAATTATGATAAAACCCGAATCACTGTTTAACATTGTCTTTAATCATTATCTTTAATATTCAAATGAGTAAGACTAAGTTTATCAGGTTATTTTATTAACATACTTGGAGATATTTTTTGAAATTCAGTCAGGTAGTTCATAGGTAGGCTCAAAATCAAATGTCATGTTCATTTTTCTTGGCATGATAGACTTGGGAAAAATGACAGTTTCAAAGAGGAGGAGGAGGAAAAGTGCTGTTGAGGTTTATTTATTACATTTTAAAGGTTAAATTGCCACTGTGATTTCTAAAGTTGTGACTGGGTGGTGTAGGGAAGAATTAGGTTGGTTTGAATTTTTGACTCACCTTTGTAGGTAGTGTGCAAATAACTGGAAGATGGTTTCTAGTTGAAGCAATGGGTCCATGACTTTCACAAAGGTGGTTTCTCAGGTTACCTACACTTCTTTTTTTGTCTAAATACCTAAAACCATCATACTTCTTGGAGTTACATTTCTTTTAGGTAAAGATGTTATTAACAGTTTTCTTTAGATCTCCTGTATGTAAATAGAAGTAAAGGTTTTCCTTACAAAACTTATGGAAGTAACTGTAAACTTTTCAGTTCACCCTATTAACATAAAAGTTTTGGTCATTTGGCTATTGTGTAACATGCTTTTATTCTAACTAGTGTACTGTTACTTGATTTTAATTGACATCAAGAACTCACTGGCATTTTTTTTAAGGCAGTGTCCTATGGATCTTTTAAACACAGTAAGTTCTAATCCATATTCCCAATACCAGAACTGTCTGATCTCTTTGAGGGGGTTAGTTCTTTCTTAATTGCTCTTTGACAATGTGGAAACTACATGACTTTATTCAATTTGACAATTTACCTTTGAGTACAAGTCCATTAATCTTCAATATTAATGCTGCTGACATGCTACAAAACTGCAAAGATGGCTTTGACAATGGTATAGATGAGTCAGAGTAACCAATAGTGTGGCATCTGTGCCAGAAGTAAAAAGTCACACTTTAGGATGATATGTCCCCAATAAGCATACTTCAGGTTTGCTGCCTCAGTAGTTTGAATTTACAAGTAAATCTTAAGCATCACTGAATACCTTTTTTCTTGCTACCATAAGTACTTAGTTATCTCTTTGTCATGTAGTTGATGAGAGATAAATTCATAATGATGTAATTTTTAATTATTTTAAATAATATATAATCAAGATCCAACTATAATAGAAAAAACTTATTGTGCATTCCAAAACCATATGCAAAATTATCTGCATTTTCAGATCATCCTTGTTCTTGTTCAGTTCCATATATATGCAAACCAAGAGTATCTCTGAATCATTTGGGTGAAAAGCAAAAGGAGCTATAGTATATAGTACAGTTGTCTCTAGAACAACATGGGTTTGAACCGGGTGGGTCCACTTATACATGGATTTTTTTCAACAAATACTGTAAATGTATTTTTCCTTCCTTGTAATTCTCTTAATTTTCTTTAGCTTACTTGATTGTAAGAATACAGTATATAGTACATGTACAATATGTATTAATGAATTGTATGTTACAGTAAAACTATGGGTTTACAGTAGGCTATTTGTTTTGGGGGGAGTCTAAATTTATATGTGGATTTTTGACTGCGCAAGGAGTTGGCAACCCTAACTGCCCCCTCCCCATGTTGTTCAAATGTTAACTGTATTTGGACCTATTTTTAATGGCTCTTCAGTCGAGTTTCCATTTACTTGATTAAATAAGTGATATACCAGTAGTCTTGCTTTTTGTTCTGTCTCCACTTGAATGTGTTGTTGCGAATGAAGAGCCTTTGGGATAAGTTTAGTTTCCTTGTCATTGTTTCTGAATATATAAGGCTTATCAGATTTTAGGAATATGGAACTTTATGTGGTATGTTGATGATTTAACATCATAACACAATTAAAAGGGGTTCCAACTGCAAGCCCTCAGTTCACACTGGAACACTTACCAATGGTGTACTGCCCTTGTGTGAGAAAATGGACAAGAACACTTCTAGAAGACATTTCCAATCTTGTGAGCTTGACATACCATGTCTAGTGGAGTATACCCACCAACTGCTCTACATGGATATTACTGACAAGTTAGATGATGATAATTTAAGGTGTGTTCCTTTAAAGTATAATGAAGACATTTGGGAATATCTACAAAACACATTCCTGGACAAAAGGTGGGTAGGCAAGACATTTATTCACTTACTGTATGATCTCAGTGTAACATGTGCCTAGAGTAAAAATAGTAAACTTACAACTGATCAAAACTAAAAGTTTTTATGACATACAATACATGTAAGAATGTTAATTTGCTATCATAAATGTCATACGTCTCCCAAGTATAGCTCCAGGCTTCCTATTTAAATTTCTTAAAACACCAGAAACACTAAAACCAAATACCATTAATTTATTTTTTAAATGTATTTATACATATCTAAAAGGTCTTAGGCATCTAAGGAATGATATTTAAGTTTATCTTTAGATGTTAACATTCTGTACTGACTGGTGGGCTCTGGTAACACATGATAAAGTTGTCAAATGATCTAGAGAAATTCAACGGCTTCTATAGATGAGAGAGAAAATTTAGAGAGAGAAAAATCTGTTTTAATATCACTTGAATTTTTCAGTCTCTTAATAACGGTGGAAGATGGTTTAAAGTTGCAACCTATCAGAACTCATACATTTCCCCATTTTTCTTACCTGTGCTATCAGGATCAGTGTTAAGTTGTTAACAGTATTGGACTTCTACACAGCAAAACATTTTGTAGCATTCAATATAAAGGTAAATATCAAAAATATCTAGGACAATATGAGTTATGCATTACAGTAATTGTACTCTCACACTTCCCTTTAAAATCCACATATTTAGAAAAATATATTATTGCATATGAAACCACAAACAGGAATTCTGTTTTCAGCATATTCTTACTCCAAACAGTATATACAGTTCTATGAGTCAGAGTGTACTGCAGATTCACACATGGGGGTTTCTGTGGTGAAAGTCCCAAACAGACAGCAATATATATACACGTCTATGTTCTGTGTCACCTCTCTTGGCAGAGGCTTGCTTGGCATCAAGGTATCACAGGTCTCTCATGGCGGTGAAGGCGAAACAGAATATACAGATGAAGATGGTCTGTCCTAGGCCGCTTCTTCAGCAGAGCAGTCAATCCCTGCATAGGTAAACTTCTCATAAAGCGTGGTATTCACGTAGGTCTAGAAGAACAAGAATGATTCAGAGACCCAGGCTGCCTCACTACTGCCTCTGCTAGGAACAGTTACAGGAAATACCCAGGTCTCCTTAGCTTGTTTCAATTCAAATACTAGGTACTTGGGGGATATTTTTCTGTCCTTAATCTCTCTTTTGTCTTTGACAACTTTCTTCCTGAAATGCATCCCTTGACTTCTGCCAGCAATATTTCATCCTTCCACTTTCCCAGGTTTCTGAGCCTGTCCTTCTCATTGTCTCTCATTGGTCCCTTCTGAAATGTTCCAGTTCTCTCAGTCTCCTTCCTGTGTCAACTTCTCATCATCACATCTCCCTGCGTGATCACACCTACATGTCTGGTTTAATTACCACTTGGGTTTTGATGGCTTTCAAAATCTATTTTCCTAACGTAGATTTATCTTTTGACCTCTAGATACATAAAGCTAGCTACCTTCTAGAATTTATAGAATTCTTGACCCTCCCCCTAGTGGCCTGTGGACCAGGCTCTGTTGTCTAGTTGCTGTGTGCCCTTGGGCAGGTCACTTTTCACCTCTCCATCTGTTTGTTCATCTATAAAATTAAAGGGTCAGCTCTATGATAAGATTTAATATTCCTTCTAGCTCAAATAGGCTATTTCTATGTTTTACTGTGTGTGTGACTATATCTAGTTTAGAAACCTGATTTCCTTCAAAGCTGTAACTTCCTCAAAATTTGAGGCCACATCTTTTATGTCTCTGTAATACCTAGGGCTGCGTCCAGAAGAACCTGTTAAATTGCATCAACTATTCTTATTAACCACAGTGGGCATATGAGGAATCACAATTAAAGAGCCCCTGTTTGGAACGCCATACTTACCTTTCGTTCTTCTAACATCCTGTTTAAGGACACCAGTATCTGGGTAAATGATGGCCTCTCATAGGGCTTCTCCCGCCAGCATTGTCTCATTAGATCATACCTTTGAAAACAAAGAGAGGGTGAAGTCTAGGACTGTAATATAGTCCTGCGCATGGCCAAGTGTAGGGATTGGAAAAAAGAAAATAGCCATTCAACACATGGTCATGAAGCTTAGCCAGCAGGAGACAAAGGCAGAGCACCTAGGAAGTTCCTATTAGGCCTCCTGCCTCCCGATCCGAGTCCCCTTTCTTCTCTCAGTAGATCTGGTGCCTACCCAGGGTACCATTCCTGCAGGATTGTGGTCTCAGCTATTCTGATCATCTGGAAAGAACTGAGTTATGTTTCTAGGTCAGCATTTCCCTTGGGATACTACATCTTTCAAAATATTAGTGTTTCATTAAAAAAAAAGGACTTCATGCTCTAATTCATTTGCAAAATACCACCTATTAGGGATTAGCATAGTAAAATCTTGAGAAGTCCTGACATTAAAAACAAAAAACCTGTTTAACTGGTTTTAATATGATACTTCCCAAACATAATTGACCACAGAACTCCTTTCCCCTGTATCATTTATTTACATCTTGCATATTCCAGGACCATAGTTTGGGAAACACTGGTCTAAGGCAGTACTTTTCCCAAATGTGGCCAGAACTACTTGCGTTATTAAAATGCAGATTCCTGGGATCCATGTACTAGACCTACAGAGGGAGAATGTCCGGGAGTGAGGCTCCAGATTTCACATACTAAAAACGCTTCAGGGGAACCTTATGTGCACAGGAGGTTATCAATCACTGGCCTCAGGTGGCACAGGTTCTAGAATGGTCTGTACTTTAACAGACATTTCATAATGACTGAAAAATCTCACTCCTCATGGAATCTCAAAAGGTGGAATTTTAGAGACTGTCCAGTGATAATGGTTCAAGTACACCCAAGTTTGCCCCGGTTAGAATAGGTTTATGTCTCTTGTACCAGTTATATAATTGATAGCATCCTGTTTCACGCTTAGAAACGGCTCGACTTAGATAATTTGCTCACCCTAGAGCCTTCTACTCTTCATATCAATTAGGCAGCTTCTCTACCTCAGCTAAGTTCTGGGAATTCTGGTATCTCTGAAGTTAATTTATTATTCCCCTTGGAATAAATCTTACTCCTAGAAAATAATATTTGCAGAAGCAAAATTCTATGAAGAAAAATCTATCTTCCTTAATGTAACAGCTCAGAAATCCCTATTCCCAAAGTTAGTCTCAAGGGTTCATACACTTATTTATTCATGAATAATTTCATCAATTTATTTCAGCTCTTTTCTGCATTTGTTGACCTTCCTCATTTCAACCTTCCCTACAATCATCACCTTAAATTCCTCCTGGGATTCCTTCTTTATATGCCTGGGAAGCTCTTATTCTCTGCCCATCACATAACAGTCTTAATTTAAAGAAACCCCCTTTTTTCTGGCTATTTGTGATCTCAATATGTGTGTGTGTGTGTGTGTGTGTGTGTGTGTGTGTATAGAGAGGGTGCCAAAAAAATATATACACATTTTAAGAAAGGAAAACTGTATTAAAATTGTAATACTCCATATATACCAATAACAAAAGATGAACACAAGTCACATTTACCTTCTGCAATTACAAGAGGTGCCCAAAGTGGTTACCATCAGCATCCAGACACTTCTGATTATGGCGAACTACTACTTGAGTAATGTTGACCAAAGTGTCCACTTGTATAAATGTTTTTGCCCCCCCCCAGTACATGCAGGTATGTGTATGAATCGGATAATTCCTTCATTAGAGTCAGTCTGTCCATGAAACACACCGCAGGAAGGTTAAGATAAAATGGCCCTGGGATGAGGCCGGACTTACACCTCGTCATCACAGTTTAGGGGCTTCTCCAGTCTGTAGCCCTGCGGCAGCTTCTCATAGAGTTCTGCACACGTCATCCCGCAGTAGGGGGTGCCACCTGGAAGACAGGAAACGGTGTTGCCCTAAGGTCACTCTGGTGCAGAAGGCTGTCTCCTGCCCAGGGGCTCAGAAGCCAAGAGACTGGGAGAAGGACGGGTAAGTCAGGGAGGGTGCACACCCAGCATGCTCTGCCGCTCTGAGCAAACCCACTGCACATCAAAGCTGGACCACAGAGGGACAAAGGATAAGCTACAGACCACACTACAGTGTGGCTATTCCTTCAGTGGGAAGGACCCTCACAGGGTTCCTGACTTAGTGCTATTTCCCTTCCCAAGTCTGTCTATACACCGCACATCTATTATACCAAGGAGAGGAATCTTTTTCCTAATTGAAAGTCTGTAGTTATGCAATTCCTATTGTATCTATTGATATACTAGTTGCCCAGTTTCAATTATAAACGCAATATATGTTTATTGTAGAAAACTTGGAAAATAAAAAAAGCACAAAAAAAATACAATAGTTTTTATTACCCTTCTGTGTAGTTCTGCCTGTTTTCTTAAAAACGTGTAATACTTATAAAACTGGGGTTGTGATATACGTGAAATTTATTTATTTTTTGGCATGTACATTTTTACAGGCTATTAGCCTTCAAAATGTGATTTTTCTTGGCTGCATAATATACCACCTTAAAGTTGTGTAAGTAAACTTTGTGAGAGGTCTGTGATGTCTTTGCACAAGCAGAGGCAGTTAACCTATATCAGAGTTCATGGCGACCAAGTTGTTAGTATTAAATATGACATTAAGTATGGGGCTTTCAAAAAGAGAAACACGGGAATAAAACTCATCCATGGAAGCCTATAGGTTCTATCTCTAAGTCACTTCTGGTGGCACCACATACAAACGGTACCCGTGGAATTACACATTGAGGGAGGCCACACAGAAGGGGCCCACTCCCTTTGCCTAGAGTCTCACCTGGGGGAGAAAGGTGGATACTCACCTAGGCTGACAATCTCCCATAGTAACACCCCATAAGACCATCTGCGGAAGGGAAATAGGGAAACCAACAATCAGCAAACAGGTGGGACAGTCAAATTACTGTCCCAAAAGCCAGGGTGACTGACAGTCAGAAAAGGAAACAATAAATGTCTGCTCACTGGGATGGGTCCACGCACACAGCATGTGTTTATCTCCTCTTAGGCCAATGGGAGGATTATAACAGGGAAACTCCTAGTTCTGCCAGAAACCCCCTCCCCCATCCCACCCCACCCCCACACACACTTAAGGTGGAGAATGCAAGGTAGTACTGTGCAAAGCAGGTGACATTCTAAGCCAAACGGATCTGATTTAAATCCCATCTCTGCCACCTGATACTCATCTGACGTAGGACATGTTACTGAACCCCTGAAGCCTCATAGTATATTATTCTGAAAGTAGGGATACCTATTGCTACCGCAATGCTAAGCAGAGATGACATGAGATAGCGTATGAAAGTCACTGCACACAGTGAGGATACAGGAGTTGCCAGCTCCCTCCTCATCCCCACGCGTAAGTAAAACCCCCTGGTCAAGTGTCCTCAACCCTCTGGGCCTCCGTTTTTCCTCCTGAAAATAGGGGGTGTGAGCACAATAGCCTAAGTCTCAATCCCAACCCTTCCACCGTCAGCCTGAGACTTGTCACTGCAGGGCCCAAGCAGAGATGGTCTCCCCTGCCTGGCCTTCCTGCCACCTCCTACCCTCCGCAGCTATTCTGGGCTACGTCCCTGATCCAGGTCCTGCGACCTGAGCGCAGTCTGGGAAGTGGAGCCACAGGAAGACCCGCGGGCCCCTTGATCCTCTGGAGATAAAGCATTCTCCACTCAAAGTCTCTCCTCAACAAGCAGAAGGACACCCAAAGCCCGAATCACCAGTGATTCACACCCTGAAAACTGTTGACTCCGTGGCTTCATTTATTCCGTAAACTTATTTCCTGGGCTTATTGATTGGCGTTATTCCCCAGAGGGATGTAATATTCTTGCTTCTCTTTAAAACCTCTGTCAAATGTATATTTTTTCTGGGGGAGAAAGAAAACACCCTTAGCAATATGAGGCTTGCTTACTTACACGTCACTGTTGGTTGTATACACGCTGTAATTTAGTGACTCAATGGCCATCCAGCGCACTGGGAGCCTTCCCTGGAGAGAAGAAAAGGAGAGGCCTCTTAGGCACCACAGGGCCCCTTCACAAGGCTGGCGGGTTGCTTAAGGCTGTGGCTCCGTCAACTCCACAGGGAACCCCATTTGGAATTCCGCAGACATGAGGAATGACAGGCTCGGGAGCTGTTATTTTGTCTATGTTCCACCTACAAGTGTGTTTTCAAATTCAAAGACCTGCAACTACTGTGAAGTCCTACTAACCTCAAGGGGTCCCTGCTGCAGTTTTATATAAAGAAAAAGTGTGTGTGTGTGTGTGTGTGTGTGTGTGTGTGTGTGTGTGTGAATGTATTCGCACACTTGGTAGTCGTTCACTTATTCCCTTATTCACTTTGTGGCTCTCAGAGGCACTCAGAGGTTTGAATGAGGAGACACAGGCATAGGAACTGAGAATTAAATTGTAGCATGGGAAAGGCTAAAGTGGTGTGAGGAGACCAACTGCTTCTGGAGGAGACGGAGGAAGAATTTTCAGAGAAAGGACATTTGAACTTGAATCTCTAAGATGCATGGGTGTCATCAAGTGATGGGGAGGACGGAGCATGTCACGCCAAAGGGAACAGTGTGCACACATGTCAACAGAAGAGGAAAGAACTTCTAGCCAATGTGGTTTACACTGGGTTTGGATGCCTAGCCCTGACTCCCTCCAGGTTGTCCCCGTTTCTTGGATTATTCAATCCAGCCTGGGAAAATTGTGGACTGGACATTGGTAACTTTGATTTCAGAGTTTTATTCCCAGTTTCCTCAAATTCACTATGATTTGGGGCTTCCTTCCTATCAACCCATCCCAGGAATCCTATGAACTCTGTTGAGAGATGGATGCCTCCCTTCCAGGGACTTAAAAACACAAATTGATGCAGGGACCCCACCCCAGAACAGTTGAGTAAGGATATCTAAGCAATAGGGCTCAGCATCTGTATTTTTTAAAAGCTGCCCAGACGATTCTGAAGTTCAAGGAGAGTTGCAAATCTGACTTAGACAACAGAGGCCAGAGAAGGTAGCCACTCTGCCCTCTGGTGGTGTCTTTTTGCACTGCACCCTTCTGCAGGGAGCTTGCGTCTCTCCAGTCCCTTTTCCTTTCCTCCCCTTTCCTTCACCCTGTGCCTTTCCTCCCCAGACCCCATGCTGCCACGGAACACAGCTCTGCCAATAGGAAACAGAGGTAAACCCTGACCAGTGCTCTATACCTCTAAGACTAATCTCCCCAAGACTACAAAAATGCCTGCCCTTTATGAAATGCCAAGCAGACCAGTGTTCACTTCGGGGATCTGAGGAGAGCATCCAAATAGAATGTGTAGGTCGTGGGGATAAACTGTGTTCGTTCCTCCACCGCCTCATCTAGGGCACCACATCCCCAAATGCAGGCGTGAAGCAAGGAAAAGGATTCTGTGAAGGAGACAGGAGCCCTGAGAGGAGGGGGAGAGCCTGAGTAGATGGGTGAGAGGTGGGTCCTGCTTCTTTAAGATAAGCCCAGCCCCTCCCCAGAGAAGCATCTGCTTGAAGTAGGGGTAAATTCTGAAAAGCTTAGCGGGAAAGTATTGCCTGGAAACCAGACCTCAGGGAGGCACTGATGGCTTCTGAGAAATGTGGCTATTAACCTACCAGGGCCGGGCTGGGCTGTGTGGTCAGCTCTAGGAGCCAAAGGGGCCCCCTTTAAACCTTTATCAGAAAAGGGAGTGGAAAGATCCAAAATGGTTATGTTCCCTGTGATCTTAAATGTAAAAACGCATATGCTTGTGGCAGGCAATAAGTAAAAAATGAAAAAAAAATAAATGTGTCCAGGCAGTGAACTATGGGTCATGTCCTTTTCAAAACATTCTTGAATACTGTTTGTGTTATCTTGTCAGCCACTAAAATAAGAATGTTGAAAAGAAAGGAAACGTGAATCTGAGGATAAATACAGAAACCTGAGTCCTGCGGAGGCTATTTGGTACCCACAAGAATGAAAGGAGCCTCTGGATCATATGAAAGCTGGAGTCGTCCTAGGATAGCTGAGCCCAGGTAATGTTAATCAGAACTCGAGGTTTCTGCTGGAGATACCTAGGGCCCAAACTGCATACAGACCCATGCCTCTGCACTGCTGGGCTTGCATGTTCCATTATTGGCCACCTGTGACAGTGGCTTCGTCGCTGGTAATAAGGACCCTCCAGTCATTTTAGGAATCGAAACTTAGAAAGGGTGCTTTCTGGGCCAGGGCAGCATCGACTGTCAGATGCCTCAATCACCCCAGAACAATGGTGTTCTAAGAGAAGAAACATCAGCAGAGGGGTGCCATGGAAAGGCAGTGTTTTGAACTTACCATTGTCTTTTTCACATAAACTTCTTGACCTCGGGACAATCCAAAATCTGCTATCTTGGCTACATAGTTTTCACCAACTAAAATGTTCCTGGCAGCCAGGTCCCTGTGGATAAACTGAAATTTGGAAAAAAAAAGTATATGTGTATATATATATATATATATATATATATATATATATATATATATGTATATATATATAAAACACACACATGCACACACACATACATATCTATAAATATATGTGTATATATATATACATACACACACATATATAAATATATATACATACATATATATATAAATATATATTTTTTTTCAGCACCATATTTGCTTTTTCATTTCATTTTGTTAGCACAATACCCTAGGGGCAAGGACTTTGGGAAATGGAGAAAAGAGGATAGTTTTGAAAAGTTACCAGAATCCAGTTCCCTTAAAAAGCTCCTTTCCAAAATCCTCAGTTAGTGGCTTCTGCAAAATGACCCACCACATCTTGGGAGAAGCATTTCAGGAACAAAAACAGGTAGTGAAATCTTCCTGTTGCCTGTAAGTCCTTTGCTACTGAGCATGACTTAGAGCCGAATGAGGCTCAGATCGGTTGAGACTGCTCACCAAATACATATGATGAGATGCACTCGATGAATATGTATTATCAGTGTTGGGCACTAACGTCTATATACATAGATGGAATACGAGTACTCACAAAGAGGTTAAAATTCGGGAGATTTTAAGAGGAATTAAAGAAGAGAGGTTGACTGAAAAAAAAAAAGGTACAAATTGAAAGAAACTGATTCTAGAGGATTTCTAAGGAAAGATGCCCAAAGCAAGGTTCTCCCAACACACCTGTTTTTGGCTCAAGTAGTCCATACCCCGGGCCACATCTGCGGCAAAGTGCAGCAGCTGCTGGGAGGACAGCGTGGAGGCGGTGCTGTTGGCGATGGCGAACGCGGGATCCGTCTCCAGCACTCGGCTTTTGCGTAGGAAGTCCAGCAAGTTCCCGTGCGGGGCATACTCGATGGCCAGGTACAGGTAGCCTGTGGGGCAGCGGAGAGACCCTGCCTTACCAGGGGACCTGGCCGGCTTTGCTATGCCTGAGATGTGCGAGGGTCCTTGGGAATTGTTTATAAAGCTGCTTTTTATCTCACAGTAACAACACACCTAATGGTGCTGACTTCGGTCATGCTGGGAATGGGAGGAAGGTAAGTACCACCCTCCTGCAGAATTTAAAGGTTGCCATGCTTGGACTCAAGGTTTCCCTCTTTCCCAGTGGCCTCCTTTTTCCTACCAAACGTGAACTAACATGGAGGGCTTCCTGAATGTTTCCAGCAGCTACTCAGGAACCACAGCAGAAGGAAATCAAAGCACTAAGACAGCTAGTCTACATCATATTTTATTTGTTACTCAGTACTGATTGAGAACTTAATATGAGCCAGGCATCTTATTCCAGTCTGTCTCTACTTTTTCCTCAGGTTATATAAAAAGTAAAAAATAAATCACAACAACAAACAATGATAAAATAGCCAGAGCAGAAGAACCCACAACTGATAACTTCTTCTCTCCTGCCTTCTACTCCTCCCTAAAACCCGCACTAAGTCCCCACATTGCTGATGAGGTTACTGGCCAGCAGAGTCCAGGATCAGAGATTGCATTTTGCTTATAGAAACCAGAAAACTCAAACTTTTAGGAAAAAAATAAATCAATAGTTCCTAGAAGAAATTACGGTCCATTGTCTTACTTGTATTCCAAATTGTTTTTCTCTTTTGCTTTTAATAAAAAGATATCTTCTTTGACAAAAAATAAACATTGATATTTAGAGCCAGTAAAAAATAGAAATGTTTCACTGTCTCTTAAAGGTAATTTTTTTTTGTATACCTTTTTTTTTTTAACTTAAAATGTTGAACGATTTTGAACTTAAAAGATATTCTAAGAAATTGAAATTCTGCCCCTCAAAAATGTCTTCTAGTACTGAATCCTGTTGCATTCTAAGGAAGATATACCTCTATTCTAGTATGAATGTGCTTTCTCACTTCTTGACTGAATTGTAAATTTGAAGAACCAACCAATATATATGCTAATGTGATGACAGAGCAAAATTTTAAAAGAGACATATTTTCCTGTTGTTGGTTATTATTTTTTTTAAACTTTCATTTACTGCTGTCCCATGCTGATTACAGTTTTCAGGAAACGGCTCAAAAATAAATGTCATTACTTCATTATTTAACCTAAGGGACATGATCTGGCTTTCAAAATTACACCCTTGTTGGGTCTCAGAATGACATGTTGTACGAAGCACTAGTATTTTTAGTTTAATAAATTGAGGAAAAGGAAATAGTCTCCTTTCTATTGTTGGTTTTGTGCTGCAAAGTCAACAAGAGGTTGTCAAGTTTGTAAATAATTACTCTGTGGAGCTTTTTTGTGGAAGAAAACTTTTCCACAAGAAATTACATTGAAGCATAGATTCACAACTACAACCACAGGTAGCATGCAGAGGTAAACCCATAGAAGTACTCAATAAATATTTGAATTAGTAATATAAGGTGGATGTTAAGGGTATGACTGACATGGGATAGTTGTAAAGCTCCAATGTAATTGTACAGGAAGTTGTACAATTTGGAAATAACTGATCTCTATTAGATAGGTTATTATTATTATTGCTATTATTATTATTATTTTACCCTGAGCATCACCAGCACTTTCATACTACAGTAAATTGTTGGCATTCATGGATTTAACATTCAGAATATCAGTTGCTTATGTAGGAAAGGAAAATGAGAGGCCAAGTAATCGAGAACTGATGAACTTCACTCTTCCTGGTGCTGAGGGCTCCCCCAATATACCTAGTAGTGGTCGCTGAGAAAGCCTCTAGATTAGCAAGCAGGGGGCATGTAGGGCCAGAGATACCTTTGGGCAGTAATGGCTAATGCACCTCAGAGGGCAAATGACCCAGCCTTGAGTCCTACCTCCAAAAAGATGCCAAACCTCAGCATAATCTATACATGGGACGAGACATTTGGATTGAAACTGCAACTTCAGAAAATAGGTAACAGTCTTTCCTAATTCAAATATGGAATATGCCTGTTTCAAAAAAGTTCTGGCAGGAAAGACAGGAAAAGAGCATCTTACCACGATGTTCACACGCTCCCAAAAGATTGATGATGTTTGGGTGGTGCCCGAGTTTACAGAGAACCTCCAGTTCCCCCGCAAAGTCCCTGTGGTCGTCTTTGGAGGCATATTCTGGAAAGGAAGTCAAGAGTCACAATCCCTCTCCGTTATTTCTCCCCCCAAACCACTGTCCCCTTTTGCTCCCCGGACCGTCAGGTGCACCCAGCCTCCACAGGCCTAGAAAACTGGACAGAAATCATAGAGATTAAGGAAGAACAATGTCACTGTTGACACTTGGGGCTGATACTTCTGTGTTGTTGGGGGGGGTTCCTGTGCATAGTAGGATGTTTAACAGCATCTGTGGTCTCTACTCACTATCTACCAGTAGCCCCAACAAAAATGTACCCAGACATTGCCCAATGCCCCGCAGGGGGGCCCAAATCACTGCTGGTTGAGAACCACTGCTCTAAAATGTTCTTATTTAAGCTCTCCAGTACCCAGGGAAATGACTTGGTAGAGATGGAGCTGCCTCCACTTGTAGACTCTACCTCTTCCTGCTGAATCTACCACTCAGACACAAACATGCTGAGGAACAGGACCAAATTTCATTGAAATGTCACCCATAACACATACACCTCACTTTATTCAATAATTTTAACTTTCTTGCTTTTTCACAAACCTGTCCTGTGGGGGAAATACTCAAATCTCAATGACTTTTTTTTTCATAGAAGTTGCTTGGTAGTTAGGAAACTGACTTGCATTTGTTTCTGTTTACCCTGTCTCTCCACTAGCACTCTGGTCAGAGGCAGAATCACCAGGTGCCAACCAGGCTGAAGGGAAGGCTCTTTGGTTGATGCACAAACTGATCAGCCTGGAGTCGGTAACAGTGTGCTATTATTGTTTTTTGAAAAATAACAGAGGGGTGCTGCTGTCTATGTGCATGCCTGAATATGCTTGGAAATTACAGGGATGTTTCACAGGGCTAAGGGTACCTGTAAGACTAACTAGCAGGCAACCCCACATCAAATACCCTGTTCAAACCATAGGTGCCTGAGGGCCAATGCGTTGGGAGCATTTTACAAATGAAGTTCTTTAGAATGAGTCCTGACCTCAGGAAATACCCTCGTTCCTATGCATGACTCTCCGTGCAGAAATTTTCTGCCCTGATGCCGTTAAGCTATTTTATTTCTTCACATGGGTATGATATGGACAGTCGGGCTCAGGTCAGATCCCAATAAAAACGGATTTTACAAGGTTCTACACCCTCTCTCCTCTCACTAGCTTTACCACTTCCAAAACTCTCTGTGGCCAAAGTAGCAAAATAAAAAAAGGGATTTCTGGCAGCTAAGCAAAGGTGTGTGTGTGTGTGTGTGTGTGTGTGTGTGTATGCTCGTGTGCTCTGAAACATTACCATCTGTAAGTGTAGTTAATATTTTATTTTGTTTTGTTTGTTTTCTGACATGGTGTTTCCTAACAATGCAGGAAGCAGCAATGATTAAGATGTAGGATTAATTCTCATCTGAGGCTCAATACTGTAGTCAAAACGAAGGAAAACCCATCAGCAACTTTAGAGAGTCCTTATGATGGAGAACCCCACAATACCAGTTAATTACATTCCCAGCTGTAACACACCACTATCTAGACCTGATGCTGTACAAGCAACAGTGCAGCTTCACCATTCAGGCACACATAAAACTGCCATTTCACACAGAAGGGAGGGCAGCTCATGTTGCCAGGGAGCTAGTCATTCTGTTTCCTCAGAAGACGTTCATTCTCCAACCTTGTTAAATGGGTAGGCGCCGAGCAGTCTTCAGATGAACACAACTGGGAAACATTTAGTTCATGTGACCTTAGAGCTGTGGTTTTCAAACTTGAGTGTACAGAAGAATCATTGAGAAAGCTTGCTAAGGACACAGATTCTCACATGCCATGTCAGAAAATGGAATATAGTAGAACTGGGGAGAGGGGGCGGTAGGAGAAGCCCCAGTAGATATATTTCTTACAATGTCCCCAGAATTTTGACGCAGATAATCCATGAACACAGTGGCTGGCAAAGTGTGGTCTCTACACCCTCGGCATCAGTATCAGTTGGAAACAAATTAGAAATGCAGATTCTCAGGCCTTGCATCAGACTTACTAGAACAGAAACTGTGGAGTGGGGCCCGAGAGTCTGGTTTTTTTTTTGTTTTGTATTTTAGCAAGCCTTCCAGGTGACTGATGCACACTGAATTTTGAGAACCACGACATCAAGAGAAACAATAACAAAGCTGCTACCCGTAAGTTAGCAGGGCAAAACAGAGATTCAGTATTCTCATCTCCCAAAGAATCAACACAGTGGTGTTTAAATAGCTCGTGCCTTCAAGTTTTACATCCTGACCCTATCCCAGGCTGACCTCAAAGGAAACATCACCTTCAGTTGCACAGAACAGCTGGATCTGACATCACGCCAATGTTTTGCTTAAAGAATGCAAGACCACAGAGGAAAGATTCAACGGGAAGTCAAGTTTTCTCCCCACCCTACCGAAATGCTGACTCGGCCTGGCCAGGCACTGACCTTTCATCCTCTTGATGGCGGCGTCCATCCGTAATCCATCCTTCTTGATGCGTGCCTTTAGAACCTGGCCAAAATTCCCCTCCCCAATCACATCTTGAAATTTGATGTCGTTCCAGTCAAGCACTGGATAAATGGTAGGATCTGGGTTGTTTTTGGCCTTCCTGTTCAGGGCCAGAGTTCCTGAGTTGAACTGCACAGCTGGCTCTTCCCTCTGGAAAAGTAGTTTTGTAAGGTTTCATGTCAGGATTTTTCATAATTCTAAGGTAGGTAATACCTCCTGGTTTGTAGCCATACCAGGTAATAAAAAAGAAGAAGAAGAAGAAGAAGAAAGAAATGCATCTAATTCTAGAATGGAGATGGAAATAGGTTTTATCTAACAAACTCATTCTGATGAACTGGCTGCCCACAGCGCTGCGTGGGCACAGTTCCAGGCCTCAGTGGGAAAGCATGCCACAAGTGATTACAGTGTCTGCAGAGGGCCAGGGAGGCAAGGATCATCGCACGGATGCCTGCCGTGGCACATCCTCGAGCTAGTCACCCTTGACTTTCTACTCTGTGGAATGAGCAAGTGTCCAGTTCTGATGTAGAAAAGAACCTGAAGATTCCATCTGGGGCAGTCACAGGACGTGTGCCTCAGTGAGAGCTTTCCAAGCATCACCTTGGTCTATGCTTGGCTCTCATCCACTCTCTCCCACTTGTCCTAAAGCTCAGGATCTCTCGCGCACACTCTGGAGCAGGCTCTGGCCCCAGGATGACTGATGCTTTTAGAGCAAAGCCCACCACTGTGTCTCCTTTTCTCCTGAGTTTAAGTGGCTGCTGATGGTACCCTGACAAGCTTCTTCAGCACGACCCACCTCCTTGCTGCTCCTCGCTCTCGAGGGAGAGCCTGAATGGAGCCAGCTCGGACATGGAGTCAGATAACAAATCTCCCCGTGTCCTCCACTGAGGGGACTCTCGGGGACTTGTACGCATGAAGATATAGACCTCATTTGGAACATGTAATTGTCCTCAATGCTTTATATACAGAATTGATAAAGTTGGGTACAAATTAATTTTGCAGAGCCCCAAACCAGAAACTAGAGCCATGTTCAGGCAGTAATATACCAAAAGGACGCCAGGGGTAAACTATGATTTTGTAGACCTTTGTGACTGGTCAAATTCCTAGATGAAAGAATGATGCTGTGCCAAGTTCCATGAACTGTGACTGCAGACTGAGGGGTACACAGGAAAAGGAGATACACACATGTATACATATTCTTATATATATATATGAGGCATGACAGGATCGATGAATGTATTAGAAGTAGGAAATGGGAACAGGAAATAGGAAAATGTGGGGAAAACTTGTCCAGGACAACACACCCTTACCTATCACACTGAGGCCTGGTTACCCTCATGCCCTTCCTTATCAAACGTGTTTAATTCTTTCAAATGCAAGATTACGCTCTCTGGGGACTTATCACTGGGATGATCATACTTCTAACTTTGGAAGGGCAACAGTCCTGTTCTAGGCCTGGCTTCCTTCATAGTTATTAAGAGCAACCTTTTCGCTCTCAAAATTGTTCAGTTCTGGACAGGAAATTCCACAGTCAGGCTCTTATCTCCCACTTAATAATGGAAGCCAAGGAGAAGACGAGATTCGTCACCTAAGGGGACTATCTGTTTTGCATGGAAGTTGCCTGGTCTGCGTCTGGGAAGTGGAGGTGTGTGTGTGTGTGGACCTGCACGGGTCAGCAAGTAGGAAGAGGAGACACTACCACGTTTTGGAAGGCCTGGGCCATCCTCCTTTGCACGTTTGCCCTCTTCAGCTGCAACATGATCAGGAAGGCCAACAGCACCGTCAGGCAGGTCATCCCCGCCGAGCCGAGGATGGCTGTAAGCAGCATCTTCCCGCCTCCGAACTCTGCTGGTGCTGTTTAGGGGACATGGGACAAGCAGGAGGGTTAGTTTAGGTAGAGAGAGAGGCTGAGACCATCTGTAGGGGAAGCCACAGACGAGTGGGCACGTAATGGCAGCCCTAGCCCTGCCACCTAACGTCTGTGTGACCCACGGCTATTCGTTCATTGTCTGAAACTCAACGGAGTGAGTCTGAATCACGGGGCTGTTTTAAGATCTTTTTTTAAAAGTACAAAAGTGTTTTTCAAATGGCAATGTGCTAATCATTAGTTGTTGTCATTTGTTCAACTTTTACTTCCAAGTAGAGGCCCAAGCAGATGCACATTATCAAATAACAGTGCAAATGACTAACTAGATGTATGACTTTGGGAAAGTGACTAAAGCTCCCTGCACGATTTCCCCACCTAAAAAAGCTTTATGATGCCAAGAGCTTACAGTCTGTAAGATTTTTTTCTTCTTGTTTTAAAGAGCTGACGGAGAAAATCTGAGGATACCAATGGGAGAAGGAAGGGAGGAAGGAAGG